GTATTGATGATGTTGTTTGCGGAGAGTATAAAGAGTTCTTTTTCGACTGGGGCACTGACTTTCTGTACAAAATCCTGTATATGTTGCGCTTATTTACTAACCCTCTGGCAGTACTTGATTGAGAAGGTTGGAAGAAAAAACAAAAACGCGCATTGAGTAGTGACAACAGTAACAGAAAAAAAAGTGAAAGCTGCTTACAACTCCCTGTAACGCCGAATTAGAGCGCAGCTCTTGAGGAGGAGGAGGGAAGGGCACTGGGGGGGGTTAAACTAACCAGGGGGGGTCACGTGACCTTGGGGGGTCACGTGACCTTGGGGGGTCACGTGACCTTGGGGGTCACGTGACCCCCAATGCAGATGATGTCATCACTGACGTCACTGATGACGTCATCAGTGACGATGACGATGCGGGTACCCATGACGTCATTAGTGACGTCACTGATGACTTCACCAGTGATGATGACGATCACGATGAGAATGTCGGTGACGACATCAGTGACGTCACTGATGACGTCATCGGTGATGATGACGATGACGATGCGGATGTCGGTAACGTCATCAGTGATGATGACGATGACGATGCGGATGCCGGTGACGTCATCAGTGATGATGACGATGACGATGTGGATGCCGGTGACGTCATCAGTGATGATGACGATGTGGATGCCGGTGACGTCATCAGTGATGATGACGTCATCAGTGATGATAACGATGACGATGTGGATGCCGGTGACGTCATCAGTGACGATGACGTCATTAAGGGTCACGCGACATCGGCGGGGGTCACGTGACCTCAGGGGAGTCACGTGATTTCGGGGGTCACGTGATCTCGGGGGGTCACGTGCCCCCCACGAGGTCACGTGACCCCGGTGGGGGGCTCGCGCGGTGCATTATGGGACATTTCCCAAGATGCACCGGGGTCACGTGACCTCGGGGGGGTCACATGCCCCCCCCACGAGGTCACGTGACCCCGGTGGGGGGCTCGCGCGGTGCATTATGGGACATTTCCCATGATGCACAGCGCGGTTACGCCGACGCCGACGCCGACGCCGACGCCGCTCAAGCCGGAAACGGGCCCCTAAGAGCTGCGCTCTAAAAAGGTGTTTTAAACAACTTCCTCTAAAGACCATGAACTGATTTTCAAACCACCACCTCCTCACTTCATAAGCAAGCGAGAAATCATGTGGTGGTATTTCACTGGAACCCAAAGTTTTCCCACCAGTCTGACAGTCGGCAAGGGCAAAGCCCTCGATAAAATTCAAGCTTCACATTTTCGCAAGTGCCGACAACCATAAAGTATAAACCGCATAGCCAGGATTTTGTTTCGGAAGGGGGGCGGGGGGGGGGGGGGGCTCGCCCATTGCAGAATGCTGTATGAGGGGTAGGGGGGAGAGGAGGCCCCAGCAAAAGGGAAGATTTTGGGGGGGAGGGGGGCGGGCCCCATGCCTCCCCCCCCCCCCCCCCCCCCCCCGGCTAAGTGCCTGATTACCGCATGTAAGCAATTTAGCGAGCAACGAGACAAATGATGGCAACCCTTTTCGCAATCGCTCGATCAGCCGCACGACGAGGCGAATCACACGAAAACGACGGGAACAAGCGACCAAGGCGACGAGCAACGTTTTCTAGAAATCGAAAAACCGAGCTACAGTGAGCAATCTTCGTCGCTTGCTAAATCGCGTACATGCGGTTCAGCCTTAATTGTGTAAGCTCGAGAGACGGTGCAACTCACTTCCAAGTGCCTTTCATTTCAGAGCTAAACTGCCATACCCTGCAGCGACCGTCCAGCATTTCAAAGCGCCCAATCAGTGGAAACAACCCACCAGCGCCACTCCAAGGAGCGCTTTTGCCGGCTCTCTGGTATCACGCAGGAGATTGCGATTCAGGAAAACCGATAGAACTACCATTTCTAAAATTTCCAGCCTCACCTGGCGGCGGAAACGAACCTTCAACTAAGTGTTGTAGACGATAAAATCGAGTCAGTCACCACTGCAAATTATCAATATTAAGATATATTCAGTTACAAAATTTTGCTAGCTGAAACAGCAGTTATCACCAGAAAACTCGCACGCACCTTGCGAGCGTACCCCATGTTCATTGGCGATACAGCGTTCGGTGCGCGCTCCATTCACGAAAAATGTTCCGAGCACAGTCGAGAGGTTGGCGTTGAGGAAACGCCTTTTCGGTTCACGGACGCAATCCACTGCCGCCTGAAACCGGGGTCATGTGGAAAGCATGGAGCTTAAACGCCGTTCAGACTCTTGCGACCGAGTACGACCGAGAGAGACCAGACTGGTTTTTAAGCCTTTTGCGACTTCTTAGGACCGGATGGGCTGCAGCGCGGAGGTGGTCCTAAGAGATCGCAAGAGGCTTAAAAAGCGGTCTGGTCTCTCTCGGTCTTACTCGGTTGCAAGAGTGTGTACGGGCCTTTAAAGACCATTGCAGCAGCTCTCGCCTTGCCGGATTCCTTGCAAGCTACATAGGTCTTCCGACAGTATTCAGCGCTTTCTGTTTTTATTCGAGCACCCTATGACCAAGCAATGGTGTCCCGATGACTGGGGGACTGTTGCCATCGAAGCCCATAGCTGTAATTAAGTGTGCGAGTTTAAAACAGAAAAGAAGGTGCGAATGAAGTTGGGGCACTGCAGACACCCAACACCGGCCAAGCCTCTCATCCGGGGCTTTCACTCTTTCTACACAACCAGAAAGGGGGAAAGCGCCGGTAGCTTTCCTCTTTTCTCTCTCGCCCTTTTTCAGTAAAACGGTCTATACAGCCGTCCGTGAACCGTTTAGGATGAGTGTAGCTCATCCGCGCACTATACCTTACCCCTTGTTTCTTTTTGGGCATCCCAGGTTTGTTCTGAGCATACCTCTCGTTGTAGCTTTCGAAGCTGCTTAGAGATGGCAGCACGCATTTTTTTATTGTGCAGGTTTTAAGGATGGTGACTAATTGTGGAAACATGTGCGGCCTGGGCCGTACGTGCAATAAAAATAAAATAAAATAAAAAGCTAGAGGAAAGAAAAAACTTGAGTGGTTACGGTGAACAATGTGCAACATTATTATGCATTTTCCTCGTTCCTTTGAGAATATCTAACTGGATATAAGACACACTTTCATGACGTGCAGGCAACGTCAACAGAAATGTTGAGTGCAGACTTTGCAGTCTACTTATGACCGATTCACACGACGAGCTTATCTGCAGATGGATTGATCACTTGCAAGACGTCCACGGAACGTCAGTCCCCCAAGTGCGTCCACACGGAGGAGACGAGCTGATGACAGCGAGGACAGACTGAACCTTTTCACGGCCCTGCAATTCCACAACAGGCCAACATCGCACTGTGGCACCGTTTTCCAAGGTCAGAAGTGATGATTGCGACTATGATCACGGTGCTATCATGAAAAAGAATCGTGTGTTGCTTTTACATACCGAGCGAGACAAAGCATTGTGACAGGCTTAGCGTGAAGCACCACTAGCTCTACTAACCACATGACACAAGTACAGTCCTGCTCCAGAAGGCTTCAGCATTAAAGCGATTAAGTCTTGGGGTCGCGGAGAGGCAATTGGAAATGCCTTTACGCATTGCTTCCTTGTGCACCACTCTTCAGCACACTACAGCCGTAAGAAAGGTCTTGCTGGGTGGAAAACTGGGTGGACGTGCAGGAAAGATTGCAGCGTGCTAGGCAGGTTTTCACAGAAGCTTCTTGAAACCGACCTGGAGGAGTACCAGAACCTGCGGCGCATCAACTGGGCAAAGTTCTTGCAGCTTCTTTCACGAGTGGAAAGTAAGAGTGGCTCGACAAAATGAAACAGCGAATGACAAAACACAGTGGTGCACTATCTTTGTTTGGCTTATTCGAAAACAAAAATATTGCTGTGCTGTTGGTACTCTACTGTACATAAACGCTTTTACTGTTACTCACCCGCCAGAAATCTGCGCGTGAAAAGGCACTCTGCCCTCACAGTCTGGGCGTCCGCTGACGAGGTGCAAATCGTAGGAATAGCCGACATGATGGTAACGTGACAAACGGTCCACGGATGGAAATTGCGATTCGATCCATCATGTGAATCTACCATTATTTGTCAATTATCCTAATATGATCATTTGATCTTAAGAAAGAGCAATTGTTCTTTAAAACAGTGTAATGAAAGTAAGTTTTTATTAACAGTGCCTGCTCCTTTCTTTGACAATGGAATGGTAGAGTCTTGGTAAAACAGAAACTTCCTGTAGATCAGACAATGCAGATTGCAGACGTCTGCTCATTCCATGCTCAAACATGAGCTTGTATTGGCAATGCCAACCACCTGTGTATGATCTGAAAATTCCTTAAAGGGATACTGAATCAGAATTTCGAGCTCACAAAACTAGGCTGGACGGATAGGCGGGACGCTGCAAAACCCAAAAACATCACTCATACAGCAATATCTCTAACGGATTGCCATATTCTTAGAAAAGAAATTCGCGATTGAACACGGCTGACAAGGCCGACGAGACAAGGCACGTCACGATTCCCATTCCCTCTTCACCTCGCTACGTCTCGTGTCGAGTTGGTGAACCGAAGCAAGGAGCAGAGAAGCGAGGCCGCTTCCCCTCATTCTCAAATTTTCCCGTAGGACAATTACGTCAAAGACCTCACTTGATCGCGCCCTTCATTTCCAAAAGTACGGCCATCCGTTTGAGATATCAATGTTTGAGTGGTGTTCTGCAGTTCGTAGCGTCCCGTTCAGCGCTTCTACAGCCTTCTTTTGCGAAATCCAAATTTCGGTTCAGTATCCCTTTAATGACTGTGGTCAAGGGAGAGTAGTTTCTGCTGTGAAGAACAGGATGGAGTAAAAGGAAAAGTGTCTCGGCGAACAATGAATGCTCCGGGTTACCCATTCGGCCAAATTTCTGCACCATGAACCGGGCTCTAACAGAAAGACGTAGGATAAGCACTTCGAAATCTCTAGGATTTGCCAAGGGATGAAATAAATTAAATGCACAGAAAAGCAGGGGAAGGAGAATGGCAAGAAAATTTTGGGGCTTGTGTTTTTGCATTTTTTTTAATTGTTTGTGCAGGAAGCATTACTGAAAGAGCACTTCAGTCCTGGGGCTACAATTCATTGCTAGTCAAAGCCTGTTTCCAGAGATGCGCATCAGGTGAGCAGCTTTTTTTTTAAAGAACATTAAGTGCTTTTTAACATTACCCTCCAACCCTAAAATGTTGTCCATCTATCCGTGAATTTGCCGCTAAATTTAGCGGGGACATTGCTGCTACGTGACCTCTACACAAGCTCAGTTTCACCTCTAAATTTAGCAGAAAAATTTATGTCACGAGACCTACAGACAATTTAAAGCTCTTCGATAAATTTAGCGGAAAAATAGACGTCATGTGACCTATGCAACCATTCAATTTCCCCCCTCTAAATTTAGCGGAAATATTCATGTCATCTGACCTATGCACTAATTCAGTTCCCCTGCTAGATTTAGAGGGACAATTGATTTCATGTGCCCCGACGTCATGTGACCTACAGACAAATTCAGGTTCCCCGCTAAATTTAGCGGGTAAATTGATGTCACATGACCTACACACCGATTCAATTTACCCACTAAATTTGGCAGAAAAATTTGTCATGTAATCTGACGTCATGTGACCTACAAGGTAAGGTTCCTGCTAAATGTAGCGGAAAAATGGATGTCACGTGACCTATGTACCAATTCAGCTTCCCCACTAAATTTGGCAGAAAAATTGATGTCGCTTGATCTGACGTCATGTGGCCTATACACACATTCAGTTTAAAATAAAAAAAAACAACCTCTTAAATACTGCATTTCATGTGTTATAGCTAGGGGTGTGCAAATACTGGAATATACGAATTCAAATCGAAAAGAAAGTTCCCGAATAATTCGATTCGCGAATCGAATTCCTAGTATTCGGTCACTCGAATATTCAATATATTTGACCAAAGACGCGCGGTCGGCGCGGAGCTGACAAAAAACTCGTCCTTTCTCCCGATGTAAGCGCTGTGATATTAGACAGACCATGCGAGAAACACCTCTTGGTCCTACCATTCCACAAAAATCTAACGCGCAGGTTAGAAAAAAGAAAATTAACGAAAGCCACAAACTTTATAGCACGCAGATTTACTCACGATCGTGACACAATCTTCCCTTGAATCACAACCGACACATCCCGTTACGCCGCGCCATGCCTAATTGTTTTTCACGAGCGCCGATGTAGAGCACACTTGCCGCATTCACAGAAATCGGCGACTGCACGATCACACAAAGAAAACTACGTTAACCACGCCGATGAAACCAGCCGAGTTATCGTCGTCGTTCTTTTGGAGCTGTAAGCCGCAAATTCTGGTTCTGAACAAAACTCAACGGAAAAATAGTGTGCCTGGATTTGAGAGGGTTTCCAACTGTTCGATAGCCGCGTTTGAATTACGAACTGCGAGAAGGTGACGAAAAGACGGAAGCGTTGATCGGTATCCGGCAGGCAGGGCAGGCGTCGTCACTCTTTTGTTTGCTCGCCTTCTTTCCACGCGACAACACAACACATGCACACTTACGACCAACCTGCGCTGGAGCAGTCTTCGTAATTTCAGTTTCGCTTGCTCCCTCTTTTAAATCAAGGCTCTCTAAAACAGGATAGATAGACGGAAAAATTGATGCATAGCGGCAGTTGGACGGTGACTTGCGCCACCTAACCAAGTTTTGTTTCCTTGCTTCAGATTATATTGTTTTTAGCCTGTTTCCTCAGATTTATCACCTATCTGTTTATTTATGCAAAATAAAATCCCCGGTGTCCTTTTTCTTCCTTAAAGGGGCCCTGCAATCATATTTAGGCATCTACCTTTTTTGTGGTTTTAGGTCTCTTGGGGTTCGGGCAAGCCAGCGGGCACGGAGAGAGTAACTAAATATCAGTGCGTCATATTTTAACCGGACGACGCGGAAACCTCCTCTACCTACGAGGGCGACCCGCGTAGGCGAAAGCGCGCGATATCTGACGTCTTTGGTCCTGGGCTTACTACTGGTCAGAACCGCTAAAAGCTTTTTTTTTAGTCGAGATACAGAATATAAGTGTCGCGAACCGTTTCAAATATGTATGAAAGTAGTTTTTGTTCGGTGTATGAGATCAGAAAAGAAACAAATGCAGTTTATAAAGTACGGAAACAAGAAATGACTCGTCGACATACCCACCACCAAGCGGCGGAAAAAACGGCGCATATTAGAAAGGGCTAGTGCGATGAGGCGCTGACGAACGGCGTGCGTAGAAAGAACCCGGATGTACGCGGCGGCGCTGCGGTCGAGGATCCGACCGGTTCCGAGCGTTCCGAAGGCTTTCGGCGCCGGCTTTGCTGGCGATTTTGCCATTTGGCGGTATGGCAGCGCGAAGTGGCTCCCGTTCTGAACTGATATTTACCCCGTGTTTGCTGTCGTTTGTGGCCAATGAAGTGTTATGCCGAATTAGTCTTTAATCGTGCAGCAAATGCAATGCGAGCCGCCCTGGCCGCCCGCTTCATACAGCCTATCCAACACGTGCTTTAGTGATGCCCTCTCGAGCCGTCGACACGGAGTGCGGCAGCCGTGAGCGCTCGATGAGCTCACTATCCCTCCTCTAGTTCACGGCCGCTCAAGCCAGGACCTACTACGTCATGAAGGAGGTTATTTTTTGCTTGTTTTTGTAATTCTTATTTGCCTATAACTTTTAAACTAAAGCGAAATTTGAGAAAAGAAAAGTTTCATTAAGTTTTTACGTTCAGTGCGCTCAGGATCGGTGCAAATTAAAAATCAGTCAAAAAGTTGTTGCAGGGCCCCTTTAAAATGGAGACCAAATATCGCAAAATGTCCCTTTTCTGAGATACACAAATATTTTTTTAAAAAGGTCGTGGTGTTAGGTTGTGCTTTTAACGAGAAGGCACGCGTGGCTGTAACTTTTTTTTGTGACGTTTAGGGTAGATAGATTATGTTTGCGCCATAAAATTGGATCTTTAGTGGCCAACGTCCAACAGCAACTGCTTTTATTTTTTTACCAGAAGTTTTTTTACATTTTTGCTTTTGTTCCGTACAAGATGCATATTCTACACCAGGCACATACTCTGCAAATATAATAGTCTCATTTGCAGCACACTTTGAAAAATTCCTACAAATAAAATCACTATTCGATATTCGATTCGATATTCGGATTTTTTTTCTTGATTTGATTCGGTGTTCGATTCGAAAACTACTATTTGGTATTCGCACACCCTAGTTATAGCACTTTGAAGGTAAAAGTCACTTCCAATTTTAAATAATGTTTTTACTTTAAAGAAACAACTTTTCTCTAATTGTTTTGATTGAACACTAGTGTCATAAACTGCTCCTAGCAGCCTTGAACAGTAAAGTTTGCACATCTGGGCCCGTTTGCTCGAAAGCGCTAACCGCGGCTAGAGTTAGCCAGAGCACCAGGAGAGGGATTTTGAAATCACGTGACGGGCTCGGTAGGAATGCGGGGAAACATGGCGGTGCCCCAATGACGGAGCGCCGCTCGCTTTGGAACTAATATGTCGTTGTAGCTGCAATATCGGGCGCTTTTGTCAGCAACGAATGGTGCAGTATGCTTCCGCTTTGCCTTACCTCACTTAAATCGCAAAGCACGAGCAATGACCTCACCGCATCGTTTAGATAGTCTTCTGATTCTGGCCATTCCTAAGCCTAAATGAATGCGGTAGCTGTCGGCATGGCAACGTCTTTGGAAAGTGGATTGCCTTGACTCGATCGGCCGGGTATTGATAGCGCACAAAAGCTGACAGCGTCCCATAAACCTTTCTCTAAATTTTCCAAGCACTGAGGTGCACGCTAGGAGTGTAGTTACACACGTTGCACGTGCTGGCGTCTGCAGTAGTAATTGTTCAAAAGCAAAAAGTCTAAAACAAATTTTGCCCTGCACGTGCGTTCGTCAAAGCCTTATTATGATTATATACTTCGAATCTTTTATAAGAGGGAGGCCAGCGCGTGCAGACCGTAGAATTACACTTCCAGCGTTCTCCTCGATATTGGGTAATTTAGAAAAAGGTCTATTGGGACGCTGTCTGTTTTTGTGTGCTATCAATACCCGGCCGATTGAGTCAAGGCAATCCGCTTTCCAAAGACGTTGCCATGCCGACAATTATCGCGTTCATTAGGCTTAGGAATTTCCAGAATCGAAAGATTATCTAACAAATGCGGCGAGGTCATTGCTCATGCTTTGCAATATAAGTGAGGTAAGGCAAAGCAAAAGCCTACTGCAGCATTCGTTGCTGACTATGCGCCCGATATTTCAGCTACAACGACATATTAGTTCCAAAGCGAGCGGCGCTCAGTCACCGGGGCTCCGCCATGTTTCCCCGCATCCCTACCGAGCCCGTCACTTGATTTCAAAATCCCTCTCCTAGGTGCTGCGGCTAACTTTAGCCGCGGTTAGCGCTTCGAGCAAACGGGCCCATAAGGATTGCTAATTTTTAACAATATCTCTTGTCTCTTTCAATTGCACAAAATATGCACAGGAAGGTGAACAATACTTTCTTTTTACAGAGCCAGCTCTTCAGTTCTGGGAGCAATGAGTCAATGCCTGATTCCACAGATGCCTATCAGGTGAGCACCTCTTAACGAAACAACTTTGCTCTCATTGTTTTAATTTAACACTAATGTGGGAAATGAGGTGAAAACGGGTATAGTATTTCAGGTTCATGAAGTACTTCATAGGCACCATGTTTAAAGAAACACTAAAAAAGTTCTTGAATTCAAAATAAAAACCGGCACTTTCCCCCTTGCTCGAGCGTTAGAAAGAGTTAGTCCCAGATGAGAGGCTTTGCCGGTGTTCGGTGCCTGCATTTCTTCTCTGTTTTAAACTCCCAAACTTAATTAGAGCCACGGGCTTCGATGGCGATGATCCCCTTGTCATCGGGACACCATTGCTCGGTTATAGGGTGCACGAATAACGACAAAGCGTTGAATACTCTCTGGGGACCTATGTACTTGTACGGAATCCGGCAAGGCGAGTGCGGCTGTTTCCACGTGACCCCGATTTCCGGCAGCAGTGGGTTGCGTCCGTAAACCGAAAATACTTTTCCCTAATGCCATCCTTTTGACTGTGCTCAGAACATTTTGTGAATGAAGTGCGCACCGAACTTAACGCTGTACAATCGATGAACATGGGGTACGCTCGCAAGGTGCGTGCAAGTTTTCTCCTTATAATTACTGTTCCAGCTTGTAACTTTCTGCAACTGAATTTATTCTAATATTGATATTTTGAAGTGTTTACAATGACTCAGTTTTATCGACCACAACACTTAGTTGAAGGCTCATTTCCGCTGCCGGGTGTGACTGGAAATTGTCGAAAAGTTAGTCCTATCAGTTTTCCAGAATTGCTATCTCCTGCTCAATACCAGAGAGCCGTGAACCTATGTAGACCGTCACAATGCGACTGGATTCTTCTTGTTTTCAAAATTAGTACATAATGTAGCCGGAAAGAAACCTTCAATTTCTGTTGCTGAAAGTTTAAACATGCTCATGCATCAATTTCGAATCGTTGAATCAGTGATCGACTCGCTCCAGCAATAGGCGCATCTCGACTTTGCTGTTTTCAGTTCTCGACAAAAGACACACTTGTCGGCACGGGATCCTCAAATAAAACGTTTATAAACACCTATGCAGGAGCATGTTTCTACATTTATAAACATCGATGCATGAGCACGTTTCAACTTTCAGCAACATAAATTGAAGGTTTCTTTCCAGCTACAATAGGTACTAATTTTGAAAATAAAAATAATCTAGTCGCGCTGTGACGGTCAACAGAGGTTCACGGCTCTCTGGTATCGCGCAGGAGATCGCGATTCAGGCAAAAGCAATAGGACTAACTTTTCGACAGTTTCCAGCCACACCCAACGGCGGTAATCAGCCTTCAACTAAGTGCTTTAGATAATAAAATCAAATCATTGTAAACGCTTCAAAACATCAATATTAAGATAAACTCAGTAACAAGATTTTACAAGCTGAAACAGGAATTATCAGGAGAACACTTGCACGCACCTTGCGAGCGTACTCCATGTTCACTGACGGTACAGCATTAAGTGCGGTGCACGCTTCATTCACAAAATGTTCCGAGCACAGTCGAAAGGATGGCGTTGGGGAAAGGTCTTTTCGGGGTCATGTGGAAAGAGATGGGGCTTAAAGACATTGCAGCCGCACTCATCTTGTCGGATTCCATGCAAGCTACATAGGTCCTCGGCAGTATTCGACGCTTTCTGTCGTTCTTCGTGCAGCCTATAACCGAGCAATGATGTCCTGATGACCGGGGAACTGTCGCTATCAAAGCCCATGGCTCTAATTAAGTTTGGGAATTTAAAACAGAGAAGAAAGCGCAAACAAAGTGCGAGCAATGCCTACACCCAACACCGGCGAAGCCTCTCATCTGGAATTTTCACTCTTTCAAACGCTGCAGCAAGGGGGAAAACGCCAGTAGCCCTTTCCCCTTTCCTCTTGCCATCTTTTAGTAAAACAGTCTATAGACCTTTTCTGCAAGTGCGCCGCCATCTTGAATTGACGTCACTTCCAGTATGGGCGAAAACATTGTTTTGCCTTTGCCACGCCAATAGAAGGCATTTAGGATATTTAGGCAAACGTCACACTTTGTTGTTTTGCCTCCCCTTTATTTTTTTACAATTTGCAGGTTGAAACGTTGGAATATTTTTTCGTCGCCCATACCAGATACGCCTATTAGGCGGCTGGAGACGAGAGTACATAGAAAAGGTCTATATACAGCTCTACTCTGCTTTAGCCTCGTTGAGTGTACTTCGTACCGAGCACCGGTGCACTGCGGAAAAGCAACACCTTCTCCACAGTGCTCAGAAAGAAGTGCTCTCAACGGTGCCGCGAGAACAAAAAGTGTGGATTGCACGAAAGCGCCGTTCGAGTTAAGCGGCTTATGAATACATTGAGAACGTAGCAGGGCAACCCAAGTTTTTGAAATTTGTTTGACCAGAAGTATTAAATATCCGAGTTTGAAATATTGCGAGCCTACTGTGTAAACTAAGGGAGATCCGGCTGAATTCAATGTGCTTAATATCACTGAATAGTTGTGCAATTTTAATTTGCTTGTTTTATTTCTCAAACACTTGTATTAGGTATTGAAGTCAATGCAAATTTTATTTTGGTTCAATTTATGAAAGGTTTGTTTTATATGTCATAAAGGAAGGTGGATAGCTGGGATAGTTGATAAGCACATTGCTTGCAGACTTTAACCATGTATGTCATATACAATTTGTTGTGATTGTCTATTGATTTCGAATCCTCTACTGTTCTTTATTTCAAGCTGCCCTTACATGCACTATGAAGATACTGAAGATGTCTTCAATTGAAGGACAACTATGAGCACAAGCAAGGAGGGGCATCTAGATGGCCAGCGCAAGGACAACTATAATGTAAAATTTCTCCAAACTTAAAGCAAGGCATGCCTTCTTCCAATAAAGGTATCGTGGCGAAACTTCTTAATTGCTTTGTTTGTTCAGCTGTTGCCTATAGGAACAGCTGATCTCACACAACATAATGCTGGCTAGGAGTAGTACAGGTTGTGTGCTCTTTTTCTTTCGCAAAACATGAACTCTTGCGTGTTTTGTCTAAGGATGAAAAATTATACAAGTGCATATATTGAATGACGGAGCTATGAACTCTCCATACCAATCTGTACCCCAAAGCTTCGTGTGACTTCGGCTTACTTGGACATGGAAGCTGTTCACACTAAGTAATGAAGCACTATACCTTTCTGTCTTTTTGAAGGCCATAGCTACGAGCCGTCTGCACCAATCCTGCACCTTTGATGCATTAGGTGAAACCCCTGGCAGGGCTAGAGCTCTGCGAGGGGAGTTTGCAGGTGGTACGAATGGCTCGTAGCTTTGGCCTTATATAAGGCGGAAAGGTATAGTGCTTCGTTACTTAGTGCGAACAGCTTTTATATTTCCTACGGATAGCTGTCCGTAATGTGGGCTACAGACATTCCGTCATTTTACAAAATATATGCCTTGTTTTTACGGACGTTTTCAGTTTCTAGATTACGGAAACCATGTCGGCAATATTGATTCGGCAACTTTTCCCGCAAAATAAAAAATGGATAATTGTTCGTAAAGTGAGCTACGGACGTTCCGTCATTTTACGAAATTATATGTCTTGTTTTCACAGACGGTCCATATTCTGGATTACGGAAAACATGTCGGCAATATTGAACCGGCAACTTTTGCCGTAAAATGGGGCAAAAATGTTTTACAGTGTAGGGAAGAAGTAGACGAACGTCGAGCGTGCAATTTGCAAGTGTTGCATACCCAGCGATCGAGATTCTCCTGTGGCATTGACTTAAGAAAAGTTTTTGAAACTCCAGAGCACTTCCCAGTGTGATAACAGTGCTCATACTCTGAGCATTTAATAGAAGAACTTTCAGATGCCACCGGTTTCTGGCATGACATGCAGACACTCAATTTGAAAAGATACTAAAAGAGGAAGCAACACAAAGCAACACGATAGCAGACCAGCGGAATGCAAGCAGTCAAACACGCTGTGAAGAGCCAGCGAAAACAGTGCTTACCTACAAAATCAGAAGCAGCGTATCAGATTAAGTTGCCGAGGTAAAGCATTCCGCCGGTCTGCGATGAACCGCTCCGCCTCCAGCGCTTTTGTAGAGCACTGTACTGGACGCTTGATGCCGCTGTCAGTCCTTTGGTCGACTGATAACAAGCCTATCAGTCACTCATACGTAGCAGTAGTTCAGAGCGCGAGCGGCGACGACAGGATGACACGGCAGCGATGCACTGGCCGAAAACGTCCCAGCCGAAACCCGTACAGCACGACTTGCTCCGAAGTACCGAGGACGTTACACCCCTTGTCACATGTACGACACCCCAAAACTTCAGTTGGATGTACAGCGCACTGACGTTGTACCACGCTTCCAAATTTCACGAGCGGCTTAATAGCCGAGTTATGCAACTCACTAAAATAGTTAATGTAAGTGTGACTGACTGCAAAAAAAAGTTATCGGGGTTCTCTAGGCTCAACTGCAAAACCTGTTTTTTCCTGTAGACTTTGATACGTACTTTAGCCGTTTAATATGTTATATCGCACCGTCATCAACCCTCTCGCAAACGTTGGGGCAGTCAGTTCGACTTCTGCGTGCTGTACGTCGAACTGAAGTTTTGGGGTGTCGTATATGTGACAAGTGGTGTAACGTCTACAACCCCCCGTTTTTACGAGTGTAAGTTGCCGAGGTAAAACGTTCCGCCGGTCTATGTGAGCTATGTTTGGAGGTGTATTACACCTGCCTGTCCATTTCCCCTAAAAATGAACGTTCGACATACCTGGTCAGGTTTCTATGAGGTATGTTGGACCTAGCCAGTCAATTTTTTAGCTTAATGTTTAGAGGTTAGGTTAGATGACGGCGCGCATCTACAACTCTCCGTCTTCTGATCTGCCTATTGGCCCTTTGACATAAATATCGCCTATGATCGACAAACCGTAAGCACTTATAATGCCAATTTCTGACTGCAGCATCACAATCAAACATCGCCGTCCACGGAAGCGACCTCTTGGCTGAGCATTCTTCACTCGTCACCCTCGTCGTAAACCTCACCTAATCATGCTATTGCTGAACACTGGTGATGTACCTTCGAACTCCGGCCCATGTCCCTCCTGCCCCCGCTGTTCCCGGTCTGCGTTCGACAATGTCGCTGCTCTCCAATGCGACGTTTGAGATTTGTGGTTCCACCAGAAATGCGAAGATGTATCTCTTGCTTTGTATAGACGCCTCTGCTCTTTTGCAACTGAGTGGCCCTGTGCGGTGTGTTAGCTCCCACCCCTGGCCGATAACCTCTTCCCATCCCCTAAGCAGCACGGAGACCCTGCGTACCCCACCATCAACACCAGCTCTAACAAGCAGTTCACCGACCCGTCTGCGGCGAGCGATAACATCGGCAGCGTTGACCGTTCTCACGACAACTCCTCGTTTGGCGTAGTTGTCGGGCGAGAAGTGCGTGATTAAAGTCGGCACACTACAATCACGTTTGGTTTTCCAACGTTTGCTTCCTGAAGAACAAGCTACCTGACTTTAAAGCACTAAGTCATCTTTCCCGAATACGATATTTGCTGCTTGCGAGACATGGCTGAACGCCTGTCTTTGGTGGGCAATTATTGGGAAATTAATCGATCTCACATAATTTTCTGTATTCCAGCAACTAGGGGCGGCGACGTCCTTGCCGTGCCAAAACACCTGCCCTGCCAACGTCTCGATTACCTCTGACCAGTGTTGTGTGCATGTTTGCCACGCATAGCGAACACTACCTTGGCCCAGGCAGCGCAGCTGGGCTAATGTAACCGGAGACGCCGGCGGGGGAGAGCGAGCCACAGAGAAGAACGTCACGCCTGGAAAGGAGAATACTGAGCGCAGTCGCAGACCGAACAATACGCTTCTCATTCTATTGTAACCTAACAGTTAAATAAATATATCCTGCATTATCCCTAATTACTACTACATCAGAATGGCGACGAGGATGGGATACATGCAACAAAGACGGATATAAAAACTGAGAGGCATCGGAACAAAGGAGACAGAGGTGACGCCCCATCTCAAACCTAAAGAATGCCTCGCATCGTGAAATTTGAAGAGTTCGAGCAGAAATCAAAATTATGGTCTTCGTACATCAACATTATTGAAGTGTTCTCTGCGAACGACATTTCGGAATCAAAGCGAGCCGATGTTCTTCTCTCCATTGTCGGACGAGAAATGTACACACTAATACGGAACTTGGCGGCACCTGCCAAACCAAGCACCAAGACGTACGCAAAGATCGTTCAAATGGTGCAGAACCACATCGACCCGACGCCCAATGAAACGGTTGAACGCTACAAATTCCATCACCGCAAGCAGCTGGGATCCGAAACCATCGCAGACTACGCAGCTTTCCTCAAACAGCTTTCACTGCAATGCAACTTCGCTGTTTCCCTCAGCGACCGACTTCAAGACAAGCTCATTGACAGCCTTAAGGACGGAAATATTCTCGAAAAACTGCTTGCTGAACCGACGCTGACATTCAAGACAGCGGTGGATCTTGCCACTTCGATGGAGGTAGCCATGAAAGATGCGAAGGAAATAAGGAGCGAGACTAAGACCCAACGAGACAGCAATCGCTCGGCGCAAGGGCGGAAATACAAGACCTCACTTCCGAGAAAAGCAAGCGAGGGACAAGGAAAATCTCGCAAAAGCAGGACCCCATGTCACCGTTGCGGCAAAAGCAATCACGACCCTGAAAACTGCCTTGCAAGGAACAAGACAAGTAAAATATGCGGAACTACAGGACACTTTTAAATGGTCTGCCATGACAGGAAACGAGATACACAAGACTCAAAAAGAAAGGACAAGCCAAACTTGACCAACCATGTCACTACACGGAACTCGGGAGAAAAAATTGCGTTTTACATCGACTCAAGCTATCCGAAACCCATCACAGTAACTGTGAATATTTGCAACAAACTTCTTCAGATTGAGATTGACACAGGCTCACCCGTGGCTGTGATCAACCTGGAGACGTTTCAAGAAATTCTTCCAGACATCCAATTGAAAACTTTGAAAATAACGCTAAAGACGTACCCTGGTAAGCCGATCGTTCCAGAGGGAATAGTTCAAGTGGAGATGCGGTACAACGGGCCAGTCAATCGTGATGAAATTCGAGGGTTGAAGAATGGGGGACCTTCCATACTGGGACGGGCATGGCTTCAGGATTTTCACATGAACTTGAAGGAAGTGCACAACGTGCGTGCAGAAATCTTAAGTCTCGCAAGTGTGCTACAGAAACACAGTTCCATCTTTGAAGGTCCGGCAGAACTGAAGTACTACGCCGTGAAACTCTGCGTGAATGGTGGTACTCAACCAAAGTTTCTTAGACCAAGGTCAGTTACATACGCCCTCCGGAAAAAGATTGAAGGGCAGCTGGATCGTCTTGAGAAAGAGCACAAAATCACGCCTGTGATGAGAAGTAAGTGGGCGACTCCAATGGTTGCAATGATGAAGGCAAGTGGACAAGTTCGCATACGCGTGGATTACAAGATTACACTCAACCCAGCCTTGAAGCCGGATGAATATCTACTACCGAAGACTGAAGATCTCTTTGTGAAGTTTGTCCATGGGGAGAAGTTCACCAAGCTGGATTCCAAACAAGCGTACTTCCAGATCCCCTTAGCGGAAGAGTCGAGAAATCTCACTGTGATCAACACACACAAAGGGCTCTATTAGGTGAACAGAGTGTCATTTGGAATAACCCCAGCATCAGCTATCTTTCAACGCGTCATCGAAGAACTCGTTGGGAACTTGCGGTACACAGGTGCATTTCAGGATGACATCGTGGTAAGTGGCAAGAACGATCATCACCTGCGGAACCTGGACATCGTACTGCAAAAACACAAGGAAAGTGGCCTTCGCTTACAAAAAGAAAAATGCT